CCGAGTCATCTGTTAAAGCAACAGGAAACCAAAGAAACATCCGCTTAAAAAGGGGTTTAACAAAAATCACAACTACCACTCTCATTGCTTCTGTGTGTTTTCAAAGTCGTTTTCAATGAAGGAGAGCCGGTCTCCATTCAGGGGACAGTACATGTTTGGAAAAAAGGGTATGGACAAATGTGAAAAACAGACGTGTTACAGTTAAAGGGGTTAAATGATAGAATATCTGTAATAATGAACTAAAAAAACATAGTAAGAAAATGTTCAAAATATGTAACCAACTCTGAGAAACGACTGACAATTATGATCATGTCTGTTTTGTTAATCTGTTTCTGTTTTATGCTGGTGTGTTTTCTTATCATATTTAATTATTTTGTTTTGTTTCGCTGCTATTTTTGGGTAGAGCAAGGGTGAAGTATTGTTATATATTAAGGGTAGGGTAAGGGTATAAGCTTAGGCTTCAGCCTACACCTTTTTTAATCTTTTCCGAGAATATAATGTTTGATATTGTTTTATTACCTGACTCAGCCTGCATGCGGGCCGCCTTGGCTTTGGCCAGTTCCAGGGCAGTGATCCAGCGCTGACGTTCAACCTCACAGCTGGCCTTCAGGTGGTACGTCTGCGCCCCACCATTGGAGATGACAAAGTTGCAGGCGTCATCCACAGTGATAGTTGCTGTGGCCAGGTTGATTGTGCCTCGACACGTGTGGCCCATCTCTGCCTGGGTCCTGATAATCAGAGGTGTGTGATTTGACATTTTGGGAAAATTTTAACTAAACACAAAACACACCACATGGACTTGGATACAACAGGCTTAATTAATGTTTAATCACCACATATTACACCTGAATTCAGAGCTTACCACCTATGATTACATCACCAAGGACAAATTTTAGTGTTACGTATGAACAGGACCATCAAGACAAGAAGCTTTGTGTACGTCCACCTGTTATATTAGGCTACAGCACAGTACTGGATTTGTGTTTCGTGATTACAACATTACAACTAGGCTTCAGTCTGACAAGGACGTTCAAGCGGTTGACAGTCTCCTGTTTAACAGCTAGGTGGAAAATCAATGCTGAGTTTTTTCTCTGGTGACATGATCAAGGCTATATCCTTCCTTAAGTTTATCTGTTAAACAGGAAAGCGTACCTGTAGTATGACAACAGCCCATTGCTCAGGACAAACCACCTCCGTTGATAACCCTTGATGTAATTTGTCCATTTGAAGACCCATCCTTTGTATGTGTCGCCTGCAGGAGTGGGAGTGGGGGTCTTGGGCTCCGACATCACAGTCCCCAAAATCAAGAAACAGACTTGAGGGACCTCAAAAGGGAAATTTAAAGTTAGAGATGTTGCAATGTGTATGACAAGGCGTATGCCTTCACATGGGACTGAAATTAATAATTAATTAGTAGATCGACCCAAAATAAATCAGCAACTATTTGGATAATCGGTTCATCGTTAAACTGATTCTTTAGGCAGAAAATGCCACAAATTCCCTGTTTTAAGATTTGGGGTGTGTGAAACTGTAGTAGGCAGGTTTCTGTTATGTTTTTTCTTACATTTCTAACCCAAACGATTAATGGAGAAAATAATCCGCAGATTAACTAATGATAAATATATTTGTTAGTCATAGCCTTACTTTAAAACTATGCCATCTCAACCTTTTATTACAACATGATGTTGTGTTATTGATGTTTCAGTGTGGTGTGACAGGTCAAAGGTCAGAATCAATACAGATTCACCTCTGACAGACTTTACTAAAGAACTAGTGTTTTAATAGGAATTAGATGTACAAAAAGTAGAGGGACAATGTGTGGTTAGAACACCTTAGTGTGATTCTGTCTAATTACCTTTAACTAAACAGTCTTAATTGTCAAAGACATCGAGATTTTTCAAACTGTCCTTCAAATAATCTGTTCTGAGACGTGTGACAGCCATTACAACCCCCTGAAACCAGATATTAACAACAAAATAAAAGTGATAAAGCTCTTAACATATTGACAAGGTTGACGCCACAAGCTAAGAAACGTTAGCTCCAATTGGCTAGAGGGAGTCTCGGTTAGTAAACAGCTCACTGCTAGAGAAGGAGCCAAAGTAAAGAAACACAAATGAACACGTTTGCTCCAAGTTGATGTGCTTAATTACAACACGGTGCCCGCGGACAATCAATCAATCAAGATAGGCCGCTGGACAATCGTTAGCTTAGCTTTGAAACTCACCGACGGCTAAATGTTTACCTTGACGTGTGCGAAATGAAAGACCAGGCAACCAGACACCAGGGGAAGTCACGGCTAACTTTGACACCCGTATGCTACAGTGCCTAGCTAGCTGAAGAGGCTAACTGACCAACACAGCTAACGATGAAAAACACTGACGTTAAACCGAACACGTCGACGACAGCAGTTCTGTGTTTGTCAGATAAAGTGTCACCAGCGAGCTTCACACGTATCCCTCATCAATCGTATGTTTTAATGTTCATTTTGCAGCTGCGTACGCCGACAGGAATCTAAAGCTAGCTTGCTACATCTAACTAGCCTAACGTTAGCTCGTTGGTTACACCCGGTGTAACGGTATTGGGTGTCGTCTAGAAACAGACAGCTAGCCACATTGTTCCCTCCTGTCCCTCAAACTAACTAATCTGGACACTTGGCCGGACAAAACCGGCTTTTTACCTGTCAGCACTACGTTGTTTAACTTCGTCTGTTTCAGTGAAAGGTCATTTAGATATATATTCTGTGCTATATAGTTCCATAATATAAATGAATACGTTCACGTGTTCTGTTAATAAGTGATTAACGTTACCAGTAAATTGACTGATATTACGGTTAACTTAACGTTACTTAGTTTATTTTGAAGTCAATACAGGCCGAAACCTGCTTGATTGTAACTCGTTACCTTGACACAGTTCAGATAATCTTTTACTACTACTAGCTATCCTTAGCTAACATTAGCTACACAATGCTAAATACATTGTTGACATACTTTTTGTACAATATTTACTACAGATAAAAGCGAACGTTATGGATGATCACTCTGTTATGTTGGCGTTGTTATGAATATTGGAAAGCTAATGTAAAGTTTCTGATTCTTAAAAAAACTTGCTTTTTTCACCGGGAGTCTTAACTGAAAACGGACAGAAGCAGCTTCTCATACACAAGTCACGAAATCTAAAATGCGACTCCGGTGGGACTCGAACCCACAACCTTTGAATCTCTTCAATTCGTGCCTAGAAGTCCAATGCGCTATCCATTGCGCCACGGAGCCACCTGTTGCACATCTGACACATGACAATATTTAAAGTATGACTCACACGAAATCTTATTTTCTGTTACGATAACTTGTATGTTTTTTTTGTCTCCTGCGACACCACCGTTCACCTCAACGAGTTCACAATACAACTTTAGAGGAAAAACAAATGAACCTGCCATGTGCCATTTTAAACACCAGGTGGCGCTGAAGGATCATATATAACAAGCTCAGCAGCGTATGTCTCAACAGCGACCAATTACACGTCATCACTGTGTAAAAACACATCACCCATTAGAGTGCCATTTTTCAAAGTCTGGGCCAGGGTCCAGGCCTGAGTCACAAAAAGATTTAAAACCGTCCTCAAATTATTGTAAAATTTGTATCCGACGATGCCAAATCCTTCTCCAACAAATGACATAATGTTAAAAACACAGTGGGTCACTTCTCTGATAAAGCAGCAGGGTAATATTTTCTTACATTAGTTTATAATGTAGTCTGCACTGCAGTCAGCAAACGCAGCAGAGGGGAAAGCTGGAGAGAAAATACAGTCCCCCTGAGAAAAAAAGTTTGAAAACCCCTGTAATAAAACACAGGAGATGAGTTGATGGGGAGACGGAGAGGTGAGAGGGAGTGGCGGGGAGGATGAATGAATAGCAGAGAATGATTATAGTGGATGTCTTATCACTCATATTCCTCAGTAGCTTATTCCAAGCCTAGTCCTAACTCACCAGTCTATCCTGACCAGTTTATCACAGCTCTAGAAACAATATGTATCTAAATAGCATATATATATATAATAAATAAGATTATTTAAAAAGGGAATTTGTATTAACATAAGCGATGTGATTGAAATACATTTTTAATGGCATGTTGTTACCTGTTGTGGGTTCGAGTCCCACCGGAGTCGGGTCGCATTTTTCATCTGCTTGAGAATCTTGTATGAGAGAGGACAATTTATTGTTCTGATTGATTGATTCAATATACTCCCCACTTTCTTTCTTTCTTTCTTTTTAACTTATTTTTTGTGGACAAAATGTTTTGACATTTCTACGAATTATCTCTACAAATAAACTAATAGTGAAACCATACAGTCAGTGTTGGTGTATACAACCCATCTCAACCTCAACCATAGAGTAAAGCACGCCCTAGGGTTTATTATTCAGGCAGCGGTACAGCCTGTTTATTATTTGTGCCAACTTCCGTCTTTTCGTACGTGCTTTTAGTTATATTACACCCTCATTTATCTTTCAAATTCAGCAGAAGTTTGAGTCAAACATTCTTTTATCTGCTTCGGCCTCTTTGTAAAGTTTACAACAGCCGACACGGTCTTCAAAAACTGGCATACAAATTAAAAATCATACGTCTCTGTTTCACGCATGCGTGTTACTTTAATTAACGTTAGTTTGTACATTTATCGAATTGAATTCCATTTTATTTATATAGCGCCAAATCACAACGGAGGTTATCTCAGTGCACATTCATTGCCGTCTTCACAATATTATTTAGCCTACAGAGATCCAGCAATTCCGATCATGAGCACGTATCTGGCTACAGTGGCAGAGAAAAACTCCCTCTTACAAGGCAGAAATCTTGTGCGGAACCTCAGACTCTGGGTGGGCCGTCTGCCTCAACCGGTTGATTAAACTACCTCATGTGTCATCCTCATGCGGTTTCTGGACGTTAACGGATGATAGCCCTCTTGGCTCCTGCGCGTCTTTGACATTTCCTGCCATGAGCGGAAGTGTCTGGGATTCTGCTCTGTCCATCGCTACAGTTCAGTCATTTGTGAAGGGAGACAGGGCGAAAACCGCCTGCATCCCTCCCCACATCGCCAACACCACCACCACCACCATCAGCCGGGCTCCGTACAGCGTCGCCGTGCACGCTTTAACGTAGCCTTATATTAGCACGGGACATGCGCTATCAGCTTAGACACTTACTACATCAGCCATGCGTAGTTACTGACTGACCAACACGAGAATAGAGCAATATGTGGCCAATGGGTCTTTATTTCTAATGGACCTATTTTATTATAGGTTTGCGCAATCTACGTGAACGCCTGCCTGGACACAGGAGAGGATTAAATTACTGTTGCTGGTGGATTATTTTATTGGCCTCCTCTTGTCACGCCCGAGTCTTTGGTGATCCGTTTTCCAATTAGGAGAGGGCGCTCAAAAGCCAGGTATGCTATTGTACTCGACATTAATAACCATGCCACTTTCCCTGAAATGTCTCATTCGGGGTTTAACTACGTAATAATACACGTCCTTTGTTGCTCGTGCCTGTATTTAATCTCTGCGAAAGCCACATTTTATCCTGAGCAGACAACAATAGAAACACGCAAATGGTGGACAAATACAGTGTGGGTATTTTGTAACGCTGTTGCTGGGAATTTAAGGCACCGTTATACAATGAGAGAACATTATTTAATAACACAGTTACAGTCCAGGGCTCTACTGTGTAAAATTACATGGATGTGGAGCAGTTTTATCCTCACAAACTACTGAGGGTGCAGACTACAGCCTGGATACCTGATAAAATACAATTTGCTTTGACAACTGTTAATCATTATGGCATATAGAGTTACTGGCTCCCCTGCCTCAGCAGCTCTGACTGCCCAACCCCCTTCCCCTCACTGCCACAGCATGTTGTGGTTTCAGGCGGATCATGCCCTTTTGTCCACTGAAGCCTGGCTGTACTTTTTAGGACCGACTCCCACAATGAAAGAATTTCCCTGCTGTTTTGACAACCTCCCTTTTCTCTCTCGCTGGTCAGGTTTTTTGTTGGGGATTCACTGAATGAACTGTAAAATAACTGAATGTACAATGATTTTAATTAGCTGGTTGCAGAAAGCCATAACAAAGTTCATTTGTGCAGCTTTTTAGGAATGGAAATGACTAGAGCAATTTGGCATGCATGCATTCTTAGTTTTTATTTGTGTGTCAAACATTTAGCCCAAAGCAGCATTTATCATACAAAATTTAGTTTTAGTTGTACAACACTAAAAGAAAACCAGCACGTTTAATAATAAGGTGTACACTGAATAGCAGAAGAAAGAAAATACATGCCTCAAGCCAAACATGTTTCTTATGTGAATAGCCAATAATGTCATTGTGCATTGTCAATGTTTTTATCTTAAAATACAAGGTTCCCTGTGAAAAAGACCTATAAAATTAAATTATACTTATTTTCTATATAATTAAGGTGGCACATTGAAGAAGCCATTTTATTAAATGTAAATGTAATGGCCTTAAAATGTTGAACTATCGAACAACTGTATTACCAAGTCATCTGTAGATCTTATGTTTTACTTTTGCACAGGCTGCAACAGATGATTATTATTTTTAAAAAGTCACAATTTCCCAGAGTCCAAGGTGACATGTAAAGTTGCTTGTTTTGTTGAACCAACAGTTAATAGATATAGTCCAAAGATTAAACCCGAGATTTGAGAAGCTGGAATTAATGGAATACCTATGAGCTGCTCTCATTTGATCACATTTGCACATTTAAAGTTATGATAGAAAGTATTAAGTGAAGTCTCACTTTGCTTTAGTGTTTCCTCTCTTTACTATCCAGCTGTATTTGCCATATAATTCACTTGTCATATTGTTGTTTTGTTTAGTTTTTTTGCCCTCCACAGATATGTCTTTCAGGCGAGGTGTGGTAAGGCAGAGCAAGTTCCGCCACGTCTTTGCCCAGGCGTGGAAAGCGGAGCACTGCATCGACGATGTCAGAGTGTCCCGCGTGACGGGCGACAATCCCCTCTGTGCGGTCAACCCCAAATTTATCGCCGTTATCATCGAAGCTGGCGGAGGAGGGGCCTTCCTCATTGTTCCGATCAGCAAGGTTCAGTTCGCCCCCCTTTTCTGTTACATTCAGCATCAAATAAACAGTGGATCAATATTTTTTAAAAGCCTCCATCTAGTTTCCCATCTTCCACTCTGCTACTAACAGCAATATGTCAGCATCTCTTTGTCACCTCACTCCATGTCTCGCTAATGCATATGCAGCATTTTTACAAAACAAATGCTGGAAAAGGTTACACTCCTGTAATGTGTTAAAGTTTCTCTTACTAGCTGTCACGGTGTCGTGATTTGAACTTTGCGTTTCTCCCACAGAGCGGCAGAATCGATCAATCGTGTCCCACAGTGTGCGGCCATGCGGCGCCGGTGCTGGACATCCAGTGGTCGCCTCATGACGACAACATTATTGCAAGTGCCTCAGAGGACTGCACAGTAAAGGCAGGTTCACAGTTTCAAGGCTCCTCAAGCTGGTGGTTTGTGGCTCTTTATCTGATATCTGTGTCGCCTGCTGTCATACAGTATATGACACAGGTCATTCTGACCACAGTTGTGTGAACTAGATCTCTAACTGTTTCTTTCTTCCTGTTAAAGGAGGTAATCTATTGTTGTCGCACTAAGAGCAGTTACTGTTTTACTGTCCCATCATGTAAATGCTGTTTAAAAGCCTTTTTTTTTATTCTGAAAAGACTGCAGAGGCCAAAGTGCTCAATCGCTTTCACGTGCTGGTTCTGCACAAAGGGAACAAATTCCACCAACCAGCAGCTCTTAAGCTTGCTGATTAACACATTACATATTTTTTCTTTATTCTGTGCAAAAAGAGTAAAAATGACAATTTGTGATTTTTACAAGGGGTTACAGTATGTGCTGGACTAGTCAGGCTAGCTGTTTTACCATGCTTCCAGTCCTTAACCCTAATCTAAGCTAGCCACCTGGCTGTAGCATCATTCAACAGACAGACTTGAGAGTGCTGTCAATCTTCTCATCTAACTAAGAGTGCTTCCCAAAACTATTCTTTTAAAAAGCTCAACTCTTCTCTGTGAGCTATTATATATACATGCATCATTTAAAACATCAGCAGCTCTCATGATCCCAAATGGATCCATCATGATATACATTACTGTAAAGGCATTCTCAAACAAATGTCTGCTGTGTCTCGTTGATTAAAGGTGTGGCAGATCCCAGACGGGGGCCTGACGAGTCCAATGACTGAGCCCGTTGTAACCCTCGAGGGACACAGTAAAAGAGTGGGAATCCTGGCTTGGCACCCAACTGCCTTCAACATCCTCTTGACTGCTGGTGAACTTCATTTATCACATTCTGGTGCCCCGTAAATGGTTGCGAAAAAAACAACTTGGATTGTCTGCGACTGAGATCACCCGCTGCTCTTTCTACCTGTGCACTGTAGAGGGCAAATGCGGTCTATATGTTGTTTTACATGCATTTACATAAAAACAAAAAGGAGGGCGTGTGCTGGCAGGTAATGTCAAAGGTCTGTTTACCTCACACAACGTTGTGAGCTGCTGTCTTCTGTTACTACAGGCTCTGTTTATAACCTATAAGTGCATTACTTCTGTTAGATAAGGCTCGACATGAGATGAACTCACCTTCCTTGTACCTCAAGCAGTCACAGAGGCAGACTGTTGAACTATGATGATTTTATTTTAAAACTTGGCAAATAATGGAGTTATAATGGATACATTTAAGGTGGCAAAACATGATCAAATCAAAGAGAAGGCTAATTGCCCTATCAGTTGTCTCTAGAACTAGAAGAATCATATCTCTGTAAAATTTGATATTAATGACTAAATGTGAAAAAAACATCCTATAGATATTATTTATCAAGAGTTAAACTCTCAAAATCTCAGCTAATCTGCTTCATCAGGACTGTGTGGGTGTGGTTAGGTGAGATATTGCTATATTCTGATTGGTGCTCAGGTGCTGCATGACATCACCTTCTTCCAACTGAGCTCTGTCCCCTTCAAACCCACAAATACCAACTAACCAAAACGGTTCAATGTTCAGTGTTGTATTTACGTGGGACCTCACTGCTCATGGCAAGAAGCTGACTGAGACGCTAGGTTTTAAGGGCATCGGCATGGCATGCTGAACCATGTACCAATCACACAACGGTTGATGGCAAGTGTGTCTGGTTGGGAGACGAGGGAGAGGTTATGCCTCAGTAATATAGTGTGCTGTTGTCAGGAAGGAGGCAATCACCTGCAGCCACTGCACTGTATTTGCATGCAAGCACGCACCTGTCACATGCCAAGCCACCTCATTCTAGATCTAAGAGCCAACACACAACAAAATACACCCACGGTCATTACATTTCTTCAGTCAAGTTGCTTCCTCTTAAGTTAATTAGGCCACATCGATCCAATCCTCAGAAACACCACTTGGCGTCCTGTTGTACTAATGTACATCTTGCATTGCACTCATAGATCCTCCTCTTGGTATACAATGCTCTTTAAGTATTCCAGTTGTGCCGTATCATTGTTCTTCTTATATATGTATTTATGTATATCTATGCATCTTGGTGTTGATATTTGCCTTCCTGTTTTTATTTTATCATCTTCTAAAGCACATTCTACTGCTTTTGTATGAACGTTTATGCTGGCCTTGTTTCCTCTCCTATTGACAAACACCATGACACTGGATGTTGTGTCTTCCTCTCTCTAGGCTGTGATAATGTGATTTGTGTGTGGAACGTGGGCACGGGTGAGCTTGTGTACCACCTGAGTGACGCCCACCCAGACCTGATCTACAGTGTCAGCTGGAACAAAGACGGCAGTGCTGTCTGTACTGTCTGCAAGGACAAGGCTCTGCGTGTCATCGACCCTCGAAGGGGCACCGTCCTCAAGGTTATTTCACTTTTTTTGACTGTGCGAGCGATGCATACAAAAGAAGATATATGACACATAATGACAGTAGAGCAAATCACTTGCTGGGTATTTCCTCATTACCATGTTATGTTGCTTCTACATTAGTCCTTTATCACTCTCTTTATTTGTTCTCCTAGGTGAAAGAGAAGGTCCACGATGGCACCAGGCCAATGAGAGCTGTGTTCCTCTCAGATGGGAAGATCCTGACCACAGGCTTCAGCCGTATGAGTGAGAGACAGCTGGCATTGTGGGATACGGTAAGTCTGACCTGTCTTTTGTGGACCAGCCCAGTGTCACTAAGAATTACGTTCACATTGAACATGTCTGCAGCACACAATTGACGTTCACTGTCAATGCAGGAAGTAGTGTACGCTTGATTTAATGAGGCAGAAAGTAGTGGATCAAAATGGTGGATGAGCATGTTCATTTTTACACAACAACAATATGTCCGTAAGGCAAATAGGGGAAATAAACTATGGTATTTTTAAGGTTAGAGAGATAAAATATTTGGTTACAGGATATGTTCACGAGTCTGTCTTGGAAGAAGATATACTTTATTTAATCCCCAGAGGGGAAACTCAATGTTTTCACTCTGTTATTATATTAGTATACACACAGGTCTGAAAGACACACACATGCACATGCACAAACACGACCCATAGCAACACACGGCAGTTGGGGGTTCAGGAGCTTGTTCAAGGCCTCTTTCGGCAGTGCCCAGGAGGTGAACTGGCAATCATTTCTCCTGTTTATGCTGGCCATTTACTTCTAAATGCACGTTCACAGTTAGTGGTGGGGGGCAAAATCTACACTCCTCTTTCTGTGTACAAATACATTCTATGGTTTATCTCGACTTATTTAAGTCAACATGAGGCTACAGCAGTCTGAGCTAGTTAGTCAGTCAAATAAAGTGGATGTCTTCCAAAGCTACAATCGTTTTAGTACAAAGACTCTCTTTGTTACTGTGGACAATGTTTCTGTGTTGAGCAGAAGTGGAGGGACATTAACACAAAGAGGGAATGAAAAATTTAAAAAAAATTGGAAAATTACTGACTAACTAACAGGCTGTTGAAGCTTCACGTTAATTTTCAGATGAACCTTGGAATACATTATTGCATGGAAGAAGGACTGTAAGTGTTGTCCCCCATTACTTACATTGGAAGCACATTAAGAAGGGATCTTATAATAACCACTGTGCCCAGGACAAACGATAACAGCAAGCAAAACCTATTTCAGTGTTAATATGAACACCTGATTATTGTTTTACGACTGACTTGAAACATTGTGAACCTATGCACTAACCAAGTGTTTTACTTGCTTAAAGGTTCAGTGTGTACTATGTAGGAGGATCTATTGACAGAAATATGATATCCATAACTATGTTTTCAGTGGTGTATAAAGACTTTACATAATGAACCGTTATGTTTTTATTACCTTAGAATGAGCCATTTCTATCTACATACACCACGTGTCCTCCTCATATGGATGTCCCCATATTGCGCCGCCATGTTGCTACAGAAGCTCACATGGACAAACTGCCCTTCAGAGCGCGTTTTTGTCACTACGAAGAAACGTTAGTATTAGTAGTAGTAGTCAACTGGTTTATTAGTAGTAAGAAAAGAAGAGAAATTTGGTCAAATGGAGGCCCAGACGAATTCTTTAGCACAAGAGCAGAAAGAGTGTGTCGGCCACATAGACTGTATATAGATCGGCCACCGTAGCCTCTCCTGCGCTCTTGCAAAAGGAAGGGTGAGTGGTGACTGATGGTGCATTGATGTGGTTTTGGAATAAAAAAGAATATTTTTTTCCTCCTTGCATATACATATTTTGCAAACATGTAATTTGTAATATGGTTATAACGGTTAGTTTGCTGTCCATGTAGAGAGAACTAGATGTCTGTGTGTTGTTGATATGCTCTGATGATGCTAATCCACCACATCTTTGTAGTTGCGTCCATGTTGATTCCACATTCTGACTTAAGAGCATATGAACACACACTGAAGTCGGAAGAACGACTTCAAAGCTCGGGAAATAGGACCACCCAAGGAGCATGTGAATGCATCGTGAGCCACTGGTTGAAATTCGCAACTCTCACCATTAGATGCCACTAAAACTTGCACACTGAACCTTTAACCTTAAACATACCATGAACAGTTTATTTGCCATAACTACCATCTTTCCATAACCTTAACCATACTGTAGTTGTCACGCACAGAAGTTGTTGAAATAAGGTATGTCACTGAACATAATCCGTGGTTTTGTGTAACTGTTCAATATCAGCATTTTGTGGGTGGGTTGAATTTATGTTTTGTATGCAAGCAATAACAATTCAATGCTTTTGCTTTTTACAGAAAGATCTCTCTGAGCCAATGGCTGTACAGGAGATGGATACGAGTAACGGGGTTCTTCTACCCTTTTATGACCCTGACACAAACATGGTATACCTGTGTGGAAAGGTATGACCTCACGATGGTATAGAGAACACAGATTTACATAACCAGGAAAATCATTGTCAACTCCTGTTCATTTTTGGTTCAGTCATGTTAATTAGATAATCTTCTGGCTTTCAGGGGGACTGCACCATTCGGTATTTTGAAGTGACAGATGAATCCCCGTATGTCCACTTCCTCAGCTTATACAGTAGCAAGGAGCCTCAGAGAGGCGCAGGCTTTCTAAGTAAAAGAGGTGTGGATGTCAACAAGTGTGAAATTGCCAGGTAAATATGTTTTCCTGCATTTTATTTTAATTACTTTAAAGGATTGTCAAAAGGCTGGTGATATTCTATATATTTCTTATTGTCAACAAAGTAGAAACACATTAATAAGCCACACCTTTGCACTGTGTGACATGTTTATTTTAAGTCAATCCCACATACACCATTCTGCTGCTGTCAAGATCGGTCTGCAGCTGAAAATAGTCCCCTCAAAATACACTATTTACTCCTGTTTTAGTAATGTTTGCAAAGAACTACAATGCCCACAGTTACTGAGCCTTTATTTAAATTAGGGTATACTTGTATGTAAGTAATAAAACAAAACATTTAGGTTTATTGACATTAAGATACATTTTGAAGACACCAGCCTTATCCTTTTGTTGAGATTACTAATTTCCTGGCATTCTGTAGGTTCTACAAACTCCATGAAAGGAAAGTGGAACCCATTTCTATGACTGTACCACGAAAGGTAAGCCAAGCAAAGCCTTTAAAAAGTGAATCCTAATTTAAAATAACAAATTTATATTATTTATTATTTTAAAATGGAATTGCAAGCCTCCTGTGTGCCAAGGAAGTTGATCCAAAACTGTGTAATAAAAATACATATCTGTCTCCATCTTGCCTCCACAGTCAGATCTGTTTCAGGGAGACCTTTACCCGGACACAGCTGGCTTGGAGCCGGCTCTCCTGGCTGATGAATGGATTGCTGGGCAGGATGCACCGCCCTTGTTGGTCTCTCTGAGCGGCGGGTACATGGCTCATCCATCCAAGCACAGAGACACTCTCAGAAGCAAACCCCAGCTCGTCTCGCAGGACTCTGGGACTGGGGCCGCCCCGCCTTCAGCAGGCAGTGTAGCAGCTCCCGCATCTGCATACGTGAGCAAGGAGATGGAGGATGAGGTGCCACAGCCGCGAGTAGCCACAAGGGAGACTGATGGAAATACTGAGAGGCCAAAGAAAGAGGTGAGTAGACAGAATGAGATGTATTCACCTTTCTAACGTTTTCCATGCTCAAAGTTATTTTCTGATTCGTTCCATTTTCTCACCTCCCTTCTTTCAGGACGATGTGTTGAATGAGCTGTTAGCAGAAATGAAGGCCTTGCGCGCAGTCGTCCTCGCTCAGAGCCAGAGAATCGAGTTGCTGGAGAGGCAGCTGGCGCGGATTGAGGACGGGGATGTATGAGCAAGGCAGAGAACCACTACATTCGGACGGAGTTCTTACTAAATCCATAGACCATAGCCTTACTAGGAACAACAGTACCTTTAAGCTGTGTGAGTGGGAGAATGTAGTGTAGTGTAGCGTGTGAATCACACTGGCTTACAACCATGCAGACTAATGTGATGAAAACGAGACCACAGTGTATTCCTGTGATTGTTTTCCCGACTGTGGCAGAGAATGGGGTGTCATCTGCGTAGAGTGATTTCTGACAGTGAGATAATGTTTTGGTTGTTTTTCATATGAAGGAGTATTGTAGCAGCTATTAGATGGTGCATATAGTGCAGCTTTGAGCTTTGCAAAATCATCACGTTAATTTTGAAGGGCTTTGAAGGCGATGCAATGCCTCAAATTAATGCACAAAGTAGTGATAAAAAGCATTATCTTAAAGCTAATGAAGGTCAACATACTATAGCAAAGCAATGAAGTACCTCCAATATGATTTTCTTTTCTCTGAAGCACTCCCAACTGTGTAACTATTAGGGCTAATTTATCAGGTAGTTAAAGTTGCTCAACTGTGATGTCATATCGGACCAATTGTTAACTCATTGTGTAACTTGTGCTTTGTTTTACTACTTCATTATTATTATTATTATTATTATCATTATAGGACGCCGTGTGTAAGGTAAACGGTACGAAAAAATCTGATGGTGCACAAATCATAATCTTGACAGTGAGAATTATGTGAATAATAGCTGATGAGCTTGTAGTTGAATATTTATGTGTATCGTATTTCTGTGTTGTCTTTGCAGTCAGTGAAAAGGTAACAGTTGTGATTTTGTACCTCCTGTAACACCACGAGACAAGATATTGATAAGATAAGATATAAATACGCAGAAATACTCACCTCTTCCCTCTTTTGACACATTTGGAAAGGCTGCTATATCTGGTTCCCGCTAAAGAACCAGGATGGGGTTTTTTTGCAGAGCTGCAAACTTAAGACTTTTTAGTTGTCACTTTGGCCAAGCATCTAAAATGAGTTTCCCAATTGACACAGAGCCTAAATCACATGTATGACCTAACACTAGCTATAGTGCAATTCACTAAAACACTAGATTTTATTTAGCAATTCCAATGTTAAGTTAAAATGAAAAGTGAAACATTTTTCTACAGTCTGCAAATGAATGTGTATTGCAGTTAAAAGATGGAAAGTTCTGTATGAATGTTTTTTGTTGTGTTTTTTGCCATCACATTTAGAGGCATAATCTGTTACCTCTGCACCAGTCAGCGATCGTGTAACAATGGTACATTACACATCTAGCATATCCCTTTATTACTTAAGTCATTTATATTTCTTTATGCACTTACCTCTTAACACTAACTGTAAAACCACTAGCAGGTTAAATGTGACTACATTGTGACAACCCAATAAACATTAATTCCTCCTTTGTATTAATGGGATGGCTTCTCTGAATGTTCTGTTCATGATTATATGGTGATGAAGTTACGTTTAAATAGTGTACATATTGAGTATTTGACTCTGTGCCATGCAACTGCTGCCTATTCCAATTAAATAGGCACATGCACACACACAAAACACCTGGCCTCCATAAAGCATGCAACCTGAAGATTTCTCACATTTTACACTGGCTTTTGTGGCCATTTGTTGTCTGCTTTTCACATATTTTCTAAATATTCTGAAGATTGGTGGCCAGTTAAATCCCCCAGATGACCACTGCCATGTCAGAAACTACAATTTAGAGAAGCAGTCAACAGATTTCAGAGGGAAAAGATAGAGAGAACAGTTGGGAGTTTCACATTAGCACAGCAGTCTCCATTATAAATTGGAACTTGAGTACTCTTGTCTTTAGTAGGTCATCTAAACAAAATGAGCAACCAACCAAGACGGACAGAAAAAGGGCACTATATGACATGACAACAGAGCCGAATCTGTACTATGTGAAAGACAGTGGGGATCTTCAGATGACAAAGGGCAAACAGCAGCAGCTGGGAGTTTGCAAAAAGGCTTGCAACAAACTAATGGCAAGGCAGAATAGTCTGTGGTCTTACGAAAAGAAAACTAAACTCAGCAACTGTGAAAAGCACTATATGAGCAACCATCATGCATAAAACTGGCGATGAATGATGTTGGTGCTGTAGTTCTGTCTGTGTTGTAGTGTAGTGTAGTGTTAGTATGAGCCTAGTATCATCCAAAGGCAGCAAGGACCCAGATTAAGCTGGTAATACAACATGACAACTGCTCCATCCAGCAGTCAACTGCCTCAGAGTACAGAAATTAAAACAAACCATACCTTCCATTTTCAAAGTTGAAAGACACAAAAGAAGTACACAGGGTAAGGTGAAAAGAAAATAATGTAGAGAAAGAATAAAAATGACTTCTGGCATCTTCATTGGGCTTAAAATTTTTAAATATTTAAATAATTTCACACCATGCTTCTTCTCCATCTGTAAATTTAAAATGTTCATGATTGCACACCAGATAGTAATGTTTATGTCCTCAATTGTGTAATACAGTGTAACATTACTGTACTTATTAGGATAGGGTACATTTGACTTTGCTGATTGCAGGCTCTGTGGCTGCCTGGCCATCCTTCTGAAAACAGGATGTGGCTGACTTGTTTCATGTTCCGAAGTCAAGCGCAGCTTTTGAACTTCATCTGCTCTTTTGATTTGATTTAAATCTTATAACTGTAGAGTATAATACTACTGTACTATTTTCGCCAAGAATATCTGGATTGTGGTTTAGATCTCGGGTTGTCTTGGGCTCACATGGCACTTTACCCTGCGATCGTGTTCACCTCAGATGCTCCTTTTTTGTGTTATTGACAACAGGCTGACAAATATGACTGTACAAGCTTGAAATGTGTCACAGGAAATAAATATACTGTATGTTGTTTAATGTTCGTAAAAACATACTTAATGCATGTTGCATATTGTAACCTGCACCTGTGCTTCAAACTCTAAATGATATAAGTCAACTTTGCAAGCGGAAAAAATTCAAATTTGTGTGTCTTCCTCTTTCCATAAATAAATTGCACATTTTTATCTGTGCTTTTCACCACACCCTACTTGAGTTTGTCTTTGATCTGTATTCTCACCCCCTACAGCCTCCACCTACTTTAGCGTTCTTCACCACATGTCATGTATCACCCCTCTCTCTTTTTCACATGCTGCCACACTGTTCAACAGAACCTTAAACGACACAAGTCAGTCTCTTACCAGGGTTAGTTTTCTGGCGCCTTCTCACACGACAAACGTTATCTTCTGCTCACAACTTGGGTAAGTGTTTTACAGTTTATTTCCTTCCTTATTTCATATTTTGAATAGCTTCTTGAACGTGTTTTTGCTGCACACGTTTTTTACTTTTTCTCATTAAATTATAATGGTAATTCTTTCTTCTTAATGTTTTATTTGCTCTTCTGAAACAGCTCCATGTATTCATATGATGTTAATATTTCTGAGTTTAGATACTTGGGTCTTTTACTTGATGGACTTTACATGTGAAATAGTTGTATAATTATAGTAGTACAGGCTTTAGTTCACCACCTATAAGACAGTATTCATCATGCATTTCAGTGATTGTACCTTAAGTGCAATTACTTAACATCTCTATTTATTAAACATGTTGAAATACTGACTGTCAGATTGTAGTGTGATTAATTACCACAAAAAAAGTTTCCTCCAATGGCAGGCTGACTGATGCTGCTCAATTATAATTTTAACAGGAAACCAGCAACGCTGCGAGCGGTCTGCTAGCTTCCTGTCACTCAAGACAATGCAGGCATCTTACAGTCAAACAAGATAAAGGCAGACTTCCTGTTACATCTCCAGCATACATATGTAGGTTATATTACAATTATGAGCCCGTGGTTACATTTCAGGCATTTATAATAGTGTCAGGAGAAAACTTTCCCTCATATTATAACGCACTGGAGTGTATATTTAGAATTATTGGTATTTCTTCATAAGCCGCTTAACTTTGAGTGAGGTAAAACTTACAAGCCAAAGCAGAATCGCTTTTCCTTTGTCCAGATGATAATGAATTATAAACACATTTAGCAGGAAGCTAATTTACTCATTTACTTAGTTACTTTATTTTTTTTTATAGATCCTGATTGTAAATTTACCTATGGATCTCCTGACTTCACAACCGCTTTGAAAGGACAAGGAGTTTGACTGCTATATTTTGCCTGTAACTGTGACACCAAGCAACTGAGATTTTTTCTACTCAACAGGAACTTTTCTAAGGAGGTAAAGTACTCTTCTAATTCGAATCTGTCTCAGTATTGTGGAATTTACAGCTTGATAACATTGAGAGGATTTCTGGAATAGCAGGATTGAGAGCCGGTGCAAACAGCCTACATAATGTTGAGCATCTGTGTCATCCTGTTTTGGGTGACATTTTGATAGTACTACGGAAATCATGCAAACTAAAACTAAAAAAAATATATGTGAAGTGTGAATGTGAATTTGCTAAATCATCTTATCTTCCTTTCACACAAGCATTATATGACACACCACACCCATGTGGCACCCTAGTATGGGCTGAAAAAAATCATAAAAAACTATTTCCAAATACAAATGGCTGTTAGGGGAATTGTTTGATCTGGGAAATACACTGTTCACTCTCTGGCTAAGAGTTAGACAAGAAGATTGATACCACTTTCCTGTTTGTATAGTAAATATGAAGTTACAGGCAGCAGCCAGCTAGCTTAGCTTAGCATAGATAAGACTGGAAGCAGGGGGAAACAGCTAGCCTGGCTCTGACAAAGGTAACAAAATCCTTAAGCTCACTAATTTATATATATATTTTTTGTTTAAGCTGTACCAATACTGAAATGTAGGAACAACTGTGTGCTGGAATATTTCTTGAAGCCTGGAACCTTTGGACAGAGCTAAGTTAGCTGTTTCTCCCTGTTCCCAGATGACACCCCTTTTTCCAGACTATGTTGTTAAGCTAAGCTAACCAGCTGCTTCAGCTACATACAGTACCGTACAGTCATGAGAGTGACATGAAAGTGAAGAAGTGTATTTTCCAAAATTAAAAATAGTCAAACTATTTCTTTAAGAGACAATGCCACTAAAGACAAAAACATTTGTAGAAATTAATAAATCCCACTATGTGACCATGCTAACTCAGTGACCTTTCTCTCTCTCTTCACCTCAGGCATGGCTGGTGAATCTAAATCCTCACAGACTGTGCTGATCCTTTCTTTCTGCCTATTAGGCTTAATTGTATTGCTTATCTTCTTCTACAAGAAGTTGAACAAGGAGGCCGATGGAGAATATACCGTCCGGCGCATGGTGTATAAGGAAGGCGGGGTCAGGGACCGGGTGAGAGGTGCAGCATTAGCTCTGGGGACACGTGTCGGAGTCCAGCTGTGGCCCCACAGTGATGTTGACGAGGACGGAGAGGAAATGCAGGAAGTCCAAGATGAGGAGGGACAGGTGGAGGAAGGTAGTAGCGAGCAGAGTGACAGTGAGGAAGATGACCAGGAGGAGGAGGAGGAAGAGGAGGAGGGGGAGGAGGAGGGTGGGGAGGAGGAGGATAATGTGGAACTGGTTGGTAAGACAGAGGGAAACGACAGTGACACTTCAGAGAACCCTCCAAACTCCAGTTTGGAGGCAGGGGAGCAAACAAGGCTAACAGATCAGCCAGAAGCAAAGGGAGGGACGGGGGACGAGAAAGTGGTAGATGGGGAAGGTAAAGGTGAAGCAAGTGGAGGGACTGGATTGTTGATAGATCTCAAGCAGTTCTCTGGAAGTGCCATCTGGTCAGATGAAGGGGGAAGCAAGGACGTTGTTGTGACTGCACTGTGAGATCCTGAGGTGATGAGTCCCCCCAGTTAGCTGTTAAATTATATTTTGTGTAAATGGTATGCCATTTTGCCAAGATGAAGGTCTAAATGCTGTTCCACACTGCCGGGGAGGTAGTAATTTAAAAATACTGGAATCAGCCTAAATGACACGGACCATGTCCCAGATGCTAAAACCCCTACAAACTCCCTCTAAAAACACCGAAGACATGGCCTTGTTGTCTTCAATGGAAGCTACAGCTCTCGTCCCACTTTCTTTTTAGGCATCAGGATACAAAGGTGACTGATGAATGAAGCTGTTATAAATATGCAGGAGTATATTGGATTGACTGCCTGGATTTTGAATGTTTCAGTTAGAGTTTACCTGTTATAATGTAAAACTGCCTCGGCCTGTTATGAAATCATTGTATTATTATGTCATGCTGTTGTATGCTGTAAATTGTAGACTGTGCCATATGTTTTTTATTGCTTTACATTTTTTCCTAATTTACATGAAAATTAAAACAAAAACAGACTTTACTGTGTTCATATTGTTCTTAATGTCATATTTAGAGTGGATTCATTTAGGGAAGATTAATCAATTAAACTAAAAATAATAATTTAAATGGTGGGATAGTGATAAACTCAATATTTCTGAGGTTCTTGATAAAACAAATAATTAGAAAAATGTCTCCTTGGACTCTGGGAACTTGTGAAGGACATTTTTCTTTACATTATTACAGACTAAATGATTAATCAAGAAATCAATTGGTAGAATATCAACAATAAAAATGCTAGCTAGCTCTGTAGCACTAGTCATATAATTGTAAGTAGGAGTCAAACTTTCCATCAAGTGACATTTCATACAATAATCTTGTTATATTGTGGCCTAATGTGTTGTGAAAGGTTGTTGCGTTTATGAAAAGATCAGTACTCATTATGTTGAATATACTGCAAAACTATAACATTAAGTGGTATGTGTATTTGCTGTTTAAGGATATAATGATACCATGAAATAAAACTACAATAAGGTCACTAATCACTATAGGCCTGCACTGACACAATTACATATGTCACATAGTTTTATAAGTAAATATGTGTGTATAGCGTGACCAACCTGACTCACATTACATTTTATGACTGTAGGCCTTCTGCTCATGAGCAGTTTTTTTTGGCAAAATGTTTTAACGTTATATCGTTCATTTTGAGACTTTGTACACTGTAGCAGATTAAATAAAAAGTCGCTTGTTCACAGTCGTAGTGCAAAGGGCGTAGTACTTGGCAGGGATGGTACATGTCCCTACCAATATCCAGCAACTACTGAATTGTCCCCAAGTGTAATTTCAATCATAACAATTAAATATAACCACTCTTGTCTGTCAGCGTCTAATCAATATATTTGGTACACAAACGGTTAACAGCTCTTGTTCTGTGACGATGAGTGCAATGCGTTTTTAAGTTTTCTAAGATGATGTCCTCCCCCCTCATTCGGCTCGCAGTGGTTCAGCCCGCTGACTACCTTTTTCAGACCCTCGGCGACTTTATTTCTATTAATCTCCCGCTGGGAGGTGTTTTTATTGTCCCCGACCAGCATAACATGAAATATCCGCCTTTGTACTAGTGCCTTTTTCGTTACACTGCAGCTGCAGATCAACTTACGCCACATAATCAGCGTGAATATAGAAACAATGTTGCACTTCCGTTAACCAATGGGGATGTAGCTCAGTGGTAGAGCGCATGCTTCGCATGTATGAGGTCCCGGGTTCAATCCCCGGCATCTCCAGGAAATTTTGTTTCGCTTCTCTCCCGTCTGTATAAAATACTGTGATCACAAGTCGATGTGTATTAACATATAACAAATAGGTACTAACGCACTTAATACTAGCGATGCAGTGAGCAATGAGCGCGTGAGAGAAGAGACGTGCGTAATTGGCCAGACGGAGCACTTGCTGAAATCTGATTGGATGTCGGAGGCCTTCCAGGCGTGGGCGTGTTCACGCACGCGAATGTCAAACATTTATTTTTCGCCGGCCAAATAATTTTCAGTGGTAGATGAGAGACACTCGATGGAGACGTTATGGACGAGCCGATAAGTAAGCCAGAGTCAAAGCAGGTTAAACATAATGTCACATTATGAAGTCAATTATGTAACCAGAAATCCGGGATTTTACCTGAAGACATTATCACAGTGACAGATGGATCATTTCTAAAGCACCTAAACTGTTCTACAAAGCAGTGATTTGATTGGATACAATGGAGTCTTTCTAATCCGGTAAATATTTAAGTTTTTTGCCTTCATGAATCTGATCCTCCTTTATTCAGGCAGCACAGATTTGGTTAAAAAATGCAGCCTTACACTGCACGATCAAAGCCTGTCTGTCACGGTAACCTACTTCACGAGTGCCGCACCACCGTGAGCATCCAAGTTGCATTTCCTCCTCTCACCCTAACTTGATTGTGCCGGAGAAATGATTTCAGTAGACGTCACTCATCTGCATAGGGAGTAAAATGCAACGATCCTCCGAGGCTTTTTGCGCCCTGAAACGCTGTGTATCCTCGCCGTGTGATAAAAGGACCTACTAATTGCTGCATAACCGAAACTACAAACATGGAAGGTACAGTTTGCATGTAGTGTCATCCCAATATATATATTTATATCCACATATAGGGGACACATCTGGGTTGCAAACTGTCCAAGATGGATGCACCGCCGCTGTGCGCAGGGATGCACGGTGGAGCGGCAGCAGGGTGTCTTTAAATGCCCACCATCCCCGCGGTTTCGCTTTCATTTGTGCCTCCGTGTTGTCAGCTCTATTTTTTTTCCACCTTTGCAGGAGTAGGATGTTACTAGCATCCGCCGTAGTGGTATGGGAATGGCTGAACGAGCACGGACGCTGGCGGCCCTACAGCCCGGCTGTCTGTCATCACATCGAGGCAGTCATCCGGAGCGACCCGCGGTGTGGTAGTGTTGTCCTCGGCCAGGTGGACTCTCGCCTCTCGCCCTACATCATCGATTTGCATTCCATGCACCAGTTCCGACAAGACACAGGTGAGGAAGAGAGGCAGAGGCGCACGGCGGAGGGTGTAAGGTGTAGCCGGGCCTGATGTGGAGGCTTTTTTGTGTGCTTCATCCTTTATGCTGATTCTGCTCCAGGAGTTGATGCTTTGGTGGGAGTGTTTTGCTGCAAAGTGGCTTCTTAATTTCTGCTGCAATTACATAAATAGCGTACCGTTATTTATTATTATTTTAACCATTATTAGTCTTCCATAGGTTACATTTTAATTGGAGGATTAAAGGATGGGTAGAGATGCTGTTTGTGTTTGCATGTGACACCTATAGGCCACAGTAGCAGCTGTAGTGTCCAGTCATAGACACAGAAAACATTTTACACTATCATCAACATGGCAGTCTTTTATAGCAGACTAAGGACATCAGAAGGCATCTTTCACAAGTCAAAGCCTCATAAAGGAGAGGGAGGCAGAGCAGTGTAAGACAAAGCAGGGAATTGTCAGTTGTCAGATGTCTAACTTTGGCAGAAACCCCAACATTTCCCTTTTCTCTCCACATTGGCTGACAAAAGCCTTTGTGCGGTTTATTTTCCAAACCCGGCAGAAGCTTAAATGGGGGGAGACAGACAGGGAGCCTCAGTCTAAATAGGAGACAGAGAGGAAGAGGAGGAGGAGGAGAAGGGTGGAGAGGAATTTCAGGAGTCTGAGGTCATTGATGAAATTGGGTCGATGGGAGCTGATTTTATGAATAAACTCCCCTGTTTACTGTGCCACACTTAGGCCTAATGTATTGTACAAATGTCAGTTAAGTTTGATTAATAATTGTTTAGCTGTGTCATGTATGAAACTGTTATTTTTTAAAAAAGACTTCAAAGATGTTTTGCTGTACGTTTTATCCTTCAGTATGTATTTCAAATGCTTAATTGTACTGCACACGTCTAAGTTTAGCTCACTCAAGGCTGGATTGTAAAATATACAGTGCATTTTACAGCGCTGACAAAAGGTTTCATCTCTCATCTTTGAGGAATCTTTGTGTTTCAGACACAGGATGTGATATGTGAAGGCTTGACACGATGAAGACTCTGTAGAGTTTCTCTGGACACCCTGGGAAAGCAAACACAGCCAGCTTTGGGTCGGATAAAGGCTGCCAGCCAATCAGAATTCAGAACACCGTCTGCTGTTACCAGGGGCGACCTGTTTGCCCAAATTCTTAGCAAGCAAACACAGACATGTTGAGTTTGTTCTAGCTGTTCACAGCAAAGACCTCCTATTGCGACTACCTCTCATCACCAAGGGTCATGATAATAGTTCAAGTTTGAGAAAGAAAGACGCTCAGACGTTATAGTTACCATAGACGTCTTGTACATGTCTACAAACCTCATATGACAAGCAGTGAATCTGTTCAAAGTGCAATACAAGGAAATAATGTAATTGATGTATGCATGGATCTTTTGCATTGTTGTGACCTCCTATTCCCTGCCTCAGGTACCCTTCGACCGGTACGACGTAGCTTCTACGACCCCACCTCAGCGCCAGGCCAGGGCTGGTTGTGGGAGTGGGAGAACGACTCTGGCAGCTGGACGGCGTACGACACGGAGGTGGGCATCGCCATCCAGGCGGCACGCGATCGTCAGCAGCCCTGGCTGGACCTGGCGCCGCTGGGTTTCTGCTACCTCATTGACTTCGAAAGCATGACCCAAATTAACGGGCAGACGCAGCGCTGCCGACGCATCCAACGCCGCTCCGACCTCGCCTACCCGCTGGTGTCCGGGCCCCTGCCCAAATCCCACCACGCCTGGGGGCCCGCATCCATGCCTAGCCATGGGGGCCTGCTTGGTGTGGATGTATCTGGAGTGGGCATGGGGATCAGGATGAGCAGCAGTGGGACTGGAAACGGGAGTGCGTACCCCAGTGGAGCACTCCCTGCCTCAGCCATCACCTCCTTGGGACAGCCCTGCGCCTGTCAGCAGTGTATGCTGGTGCTGAGTGTCAAAGCGGGCGCCATGTCTGCTGCACACACTCTGGGTCGGAGACCTCCACAGACCAAGCCTCCTAGTCCCAAAATCAGCAGTTACCCTATCCCAGGAGGGTCGTACTCACTAACCCTCCCTCGGCCTCCTTCCCTGTCACGGTCACTTTCCCCCCACAGGACGTCCATAGTTGGGGCGACAGGTGGCTTCAGTGTAGGTGGTATGGGTGGTACAGGAGGTGTAGGTATCATCAGTGGTAGCGGTGTTGGCAGTACCAGCCTTGGTTTTGGCGGAGGCTTCCCCCACTCCCTTTCCCTCCTTGGCTCAGCTACCGCCGCCCTCTCCATCTCCTCCAACCGTCCCCCTCCACCACCTCTCCCCCCTCCTCCACCGCCTCCTCCTCCTCCCTCCACCACACTCTCATCAGCCGCCATGTCTCTCCCTCACCCCTCCACCTCGTCATCACTGTCTGCTTCCTGTTCTGCCCCTACGGTGCCCGCCCCAGGCCCTCCTCTCATCTCCACGGCTGCCTCCACCTGCACGCCCTCGCCTTCTGC